CTGCTGCAGAGGCGTCCTCAAGTCTGACTCTTTGGTGATGAAACCACTGGAGCCTCATTTCTAACTGCTGCAGACACACAAACATCAGTATTTCATCAGCCTGTCAGGCTGCAGTGAGCTGCCTCACACTCTGCCTTCTCACCTCTACTCACCTGAAACATATTCACCACCTGCACAGGTAGACTTCCACCCTTGAGCTTACTTTCTTTAAATGATATTTAAAATATTTAAAACCCAATTTTGGGTTTATGATTGATAAATGAAAATGATAAAACACACTTGTGTTTTCATTCTATCACTACTGTTTTAATCCATTAAAACTTAATTGAATCACTTTTATATCACTTTTAATATTTATCACTATATCTCATTTAAAATTTGTTAGTTTCATCACTCATAATAAAAACTACTACTACTGTTACTAAGGGTTACTTGTTCTTCTTGTAATCAACGCAGTGACGAAACGCGCTCTCTAGAACCGTTTGTCCATTTGGGCTACTGTAGAAACATGGCAACTTCCATTTAAGAGGACCTGCGGTGTATGTAGATAGAAATGTCTCATTCCGAGGTAATAATAAATAAATAAAACTGTTCATTATGTAAGGTCTGAAAACACCACTGAATCTTATTTATTATGATAGTTTTCCTCTTCCTGTTAGATCCCCACACCTGCTCCAAGTCCTTTTCAGTTTAAAAAAGCAGATAACCAGCCCTCTCCTCCAGATGGTGCCGTCATCCTCAGATAAAGACTCCCAAAACCATTGTGAAAAATGTCCGCGGGGGCTGCTTTGTTGAAGGTCACTTCCTGTTCCCAGCAGGTGGCACTATGACTGTGGGTGAATGTCGGCATGTACATGTGTTCAGGGCAGGAGTCTTATTAAACATGTAAAATTTGGTACAGATCTGAACATGTACAGTCAAGTTACAACAACTTCCTGTGTCAGGGCAAAGCAAGTTTTAAAACATGGCTTCATCAATGCGTTATGGGTTTTCTGTGACAGTTTTGAAGTTGATATGTCCATGACCTGCTAGAAGTAGTACATTACAGCACAAAACGTGTCATTTCCTGTTGCCAGCAGGTGGCGCTGTGACTTTAAGTGAATATTGGCATGTGGGTGTGTTCAGGGCGGGACTCTTACAGTAAATTCCAAATTTGGTGCAGATTTGAGCATGTAGACTGAAGTTACAACAACTTGCTGTTTTATGACAAATTATCGATTTTGGACGCCACGGGCACACAGTTGCATGAAAACTCACTGTTTGTACAACTTTAAAACGTCAATGGTTTCAGAGTGAACAGCGAAAATTTGAAGTCGATCGGACAAAATCCCTAGGAGGAGTTCATTAAAGTACGGAGTGTGTAAATCATCCAAAAATGGATGATTTACACACGATGTACATGTGTTCAGAGCGGGGCTCACTTATTAAACGTGTAAAATGTGGTACAGATCTGCTGATTTGAATGGACCTCTGTGCACTAACTCAGTCTAAGTCTAGCTGCTTGTATCTGATGCTGCCTGCAGACCTCTGGCTGTGCTCGTACTGGCTGGGGCTGCCTTCACCTGGGTCTGTGTGACATCTGGACTGGGTCTTTGATAGTACTGGATTTGGATCAGTTGTGCTTCTACTGGCTTATGATCCAGCATTACTTCAGCCTAGCCCCTGTAAATTATAAATATGTAATGTAAATGCTCCGTACTTGTATAGCGCCTTTCTAGTCTTTTCGAACACTCAAAGCGCTTTTTACACTACATCTGCATTCACCAGTCACACACATTCATACACTGAGCCTAAGTGCTCAAACGGAAACTAACATTCACACTCACTCATACACTGGAGGAACAGCCGCCAGGGGCAAATCGGGGTTCAGTATCTTACCCAAGGACACTTCGACACGCAACCAGGGGGAGCCAGTGATTGAACCGCCGACCTTCCGATTATTAATAAAATAATATCAATACTTGGAAGATATTAATTTTACCAGCCGCTTCAGGCCCATTCAAACTGGCTCACCAGGTTTCCTTCATTACATTTTCAAAACAAAAATACTATTTATACAATGACATGACTTAGTCAATGTGAATCCACTGCTTTCCATCGTGCATTAGTCCAGAGTTGTAACTAAACCTTCACTGAGAGACAGAGAATCACTGCCTCGTTTTAAAATGATGTGTGCCTATGAGGAGTGCCATCACATCTGTGTGCTGTCTGGACTGGTCCCACTCATGTTGCTGCTGGAATGCAATAAGGTCCGGCTGCAGACTGTAGCACCACTCAGCCGGATGCGCGTTTTATTTCATGCACACGTGTATGAGTCATGTTCATGCGCAGCGTGGTTTTCTTTTCAGTGCTGCAGTTTATTAACATCGTTGCATGTCAGTGTTTATCAAATGTAATAAATAGTTGTATTTCCCTCTGGTCCCTCTGGCTCAGTCTGGCAAGAAACCAAGACCAAAACACACCTAGTTGCGCTGCTCAGCTGGGTTAGCAAGACAGACCCAGAGATTCACTGCAGCTACACATGAGCTCTGCTCACATCAGACTGTCAGAGGAGAGAACACAAGTTTACCAGAGTGCTGTTCCCCACAGTCACTCTTATGGAGTTATTTTCTCTTCTTGTGCACGGAAGGATAGTCCCTCTTGGTCCTCTTATCACCGTTATAAACACTCGCTTTCAACATTGACTCGCTTTTTGCAACGTTTCAAACCGTAACAACATGCTGTTTCACATCAATCACTAGTTTTTTATTGCTAACTTGACTGGACGTTGCAGATGTTGCCAGTTATTGCTAACTTGACTGGACGTTGCAGATGTTGCCAGTTATTGCTAACTTGACTGGACGTTGCAGATGTTGCCAGTTATTGCTAACTTGACTGGACGTTGCAGAAGTTGCCAGTTATTGCTAACTTGACTGGACGTTGCCAGTTATTGCTAACTTGGTTTGCAGAGCCATATATGTCCAAAAACGACGCCGATCGGTCTTGACAATTTCACTGATGCACAGAACATGGATACTGGAGCACGTTCCCCAGTAAAAAGTGTCTAGCGACGCCTTTGCATTAGTCCTTTTATCTGGAAAATGTTTCTGGATGGAGTCAAACAAGTTTGGCTTCATAAATGTGATAAATCAAAGAGACTTCAGCACATTAACGTTAAACTCCTACAAAATGAAATGTGGCCAGTAGGGACTTCTCGACACCAGAAATGTAGAATTCTATACTGATACCAGTAAAAATCCACAATTATCTCAAGAATCTCACAGGTGTGATATGTTCAAGGGTGCTCACTATCTATACTGGCAGCTGTCTGAGATTATATACATACATCAATCAAGCTCAGTAGCCTGTCTGACTCTCTGTCTGTAGGCTATATTTACAGGATACAGCTGTAACCTGACGGGACAAACAGATAAGACAGAATTTACTCATGGACCTGGTTGTAAAGTCACAGCCCGACCCGTAGTCTATTATTAATCTTTTTTTTTGCAGTGGAAAGTTTGTCTATGTTGACTGTAAAGTTGAGGACATCTACTTTAAATAAAGAAATCTTGCTAATTTTCTAATCTTTTTATTGAAATGCTGTCAACAAACTTCAGGACTATGCATTGATTTCTTTCAGCTGCATCACAATCATTCTCACGCAGAAATATTCACATCATCTTCAACATAATAACTAGCCAATAATAGAAACGTTCCATCGGTGTGACTACAGATTAGTTTGATTTTAACAGTGCTTACTGCAGTAATGTAGCCCACGGTTAGTGTTTCAATGCAACTGTTGTCTTAATGTCCACAGGGTGTTATAAAGGACAGTGTAGCTTAAATTTCATTCTGTCCACAACGTCCAAAGATAACGCTCTGTCCATACGACAGATTTATCACAAAGGCGGTCATGTTCACGATCATGGTTACTGATCTAGAGTTCATCTGATCTTGTCTCTGAAACCCAGAGTTTCCCTCACCTCAGGCTCAACATACTGAAAGGTTTCACTAATCCTGCTTTCTGAAACGGGGCCCAGCTTCCTAAAAGAACTCCAGCACAGAGAAAAGAACAAAAACAGCAGTCAGGGGCAGTCCAACAGCATGGCCCGTTAAATAAAAGATAAAAAAAACCTGTGGCGTTCTACCTGCTTTGCATAAGCTCTGACTGATTTCCAGTCGACAGCTCGTACCCTGTCAGGAGGTCGGCTCGCTGACACCTGGTGTCCACTGAAGAGAATAAAACTGCTTTATTCAGTGTTTTTAATGACCGGATCTGTTTGTTTGGAGAGGAGACAGCCGAGGTGGTAATTCTGCACCAGGTAAAAACCTTCTGGACTCAACACCGAAGGAATCCTAAACCAAAAACAAGCAGCTCATTTTTCGGTATCGCATCAGCTCGCTTGGAACTTCGACGGAGGGGATTCCAAAAAAGGCACCAGGTCCCATTTTCCCCAATGGGAAAAAAGGCAAGTAGAAAGTAGTACCATGTGGTGAAAATGGGGCTTTAGAGAGAACATGGTTCCACCGTTCCTGCAGAACTCAGTCTGTCAATAACTAAAACCTCAAAACTGTTTTTAGAGAAACCTTCAAAGACTTAACTGATGATATAAAAACTCAGGGACCCTTAGAAAGCCAGAACATTTTTAGAACCGTTCTTCCAAAACCACTTAAATTGTGCATTGATACTGTTTATTTACAATCTAAACTACTTTGCGCCATGAGTTTGAACAAATACTACGTGTGTTTTATGCCGTTTGTGAGACTTGGTAAATGCTGCCAGCATACACTTAACTCGACATGCTTTTCTTGCTGTTGGTGACCCTTGGAGGAGGCCATGACAGCCTATATTGACTCAGATGCTGTGGGTTACATAAACATTAAGTACACATGTAGATGTTGCCTTCAAATTCTGTTGGGCTTAAAATTTGGAGTCGTCACCTGCCATCTGAATTTTGTGTTTCCATTTGCATAAATAAAAACATTTTCACCAGAAATTGGTGCAAAGAAATTCACCAGAATGCAGAAAATTAAGTGTTTAATGCTCAAATTTTTCAACTTACAGATGTCAAGATTCATGATAAAGACAATAACAATACAACAAAGGTTTACAGCAAAACATTGAACTTAGTAACTTAAAAATAACATAAGCAATATTGCCTTGCAGCGAATTTCTGAATGGGCAAGTACAGGCTACTGGCTTAAACTTGAGAATGTCGGGTGTTTTTCTTGAACTGGCCACCAATAAATCAGTCAAATAGTCAACAGTCAAAAAGCACACAAGTCTTGCTGATGTCTGCCAGAGATCAACATTAAATGTATTCCTCAGAAACAGCAGCCAGCGAGCAGCGGTGTGTTTACAGCGAACAGCTGATGGAGTTACGCTAAATACTGGGTCCAAAGTTGTTGTTTTAAGTTTCCATTTTTATTAAGATTTTATTTTTGTGTTGCTTTCTCTGTGCTGGAGTTATTTTGTGAAGGTGATGGCTTCATCCAGTTTGTTATTGAATTTGAACTAACTTTAAGCTGTCTCCTCATTATACTCCCACACAAAATAAGCTGTTTAATGGTCATGCAAAGCCTATCATTTTTCATTATATTCCAGTCAAATCATTTATGAATTTTGCTCATGGATAGTAGTTACAAATAATGAGGCTTGTGCATCCCTTTATACAGAGTACAGCCTACAGCCTATGTCAGCTGGTTAATTTGCCGAATCTGTGAGGTCTTTAGACCGCGGTGGAAACGCACACAACAGTGGGCTGAAGGAACCTTTTAGTTCCTTGAGAAGAGATCTGGGGACTTAAGCCTTGAATATGCTGGGGAGCAGATGCTGAATACTTCTGTTTATACAACCTTCTGCAGTCAGCTTGGTGGACACGTTCCACACATGCGCAGTAGATGAGTAGAGTTGGTGCCCTGGTTGCACTAGTTGCTGCGCGGACATGTCCGTGTGGTCACAAAAAATGGGAGGCATGCGTACATCTGCATCTACACGTAACCCGTCTGATGACGGTTTTTTTGTCCTTACTTTAAAAGTCCTGGGTACCTTTGGTCTAAACGTGGCTTGTGGTTACTTACAAAACTAAAATCACTTTTTGTTTCACACAGGAAACAAACATTTAAAAGTACGGTTTCTGGCCTACCCATCCATCCATACACAGACAACTCTCAGCCGTTATCAGCTACAATACCGGCTGCATTTTACACATGGAGCATTTCAGAATAAGAGCATTTTGCCTGCCTAATTTTGCTGATTTGTTCAGATGTCCTTGATTTTTATGCTTCTACCATGATTAAGTAGGCCACATAGTTTAACTGTTTCTTCTTGTCTGTTTTAACTGTTTATTGTTGGTACACGATCGGCAGCCTGCACAGGGTGTTTTATTTTGAAAATCAACCGGAATATCCATGCGGTTGATATATGTCTGACTTCCTGAGTTATGAGGAGCGCAGAGCGACCCCGCGTATTCAAGCAGTCTGAAAAGGCCTTTACATGTAAACCCTGTCACAACCATTAGCAAGAAATTAATTTACCACGTGCCAAAACCTTTATCATAAGTTTACAATGGACAATGTTCTTTGCATCTTAGACTGACACAATAATGGCAGAAGCTACTTACAGGTGTGGAAAGAACGCCTCGCTCCTTCGCCTTCATTTATTGGCTACAGCGGACATGAACAACATAAGGTCCGGTGCTGCTGACCTGCATTGGGCAGCTCAACTTGGGAAAAGAAAAAAAAGTTTACACACGTCAGACTGTAGATGTCCTAAATCCTGCCCATTTCACTCGGGCAGTTCCTGTACCCCCCTTTTCTCACATGGTTCACAGCAGTGCGGTTTCTCTCCAGTGTGAACACGTTGGTGGGTTTTTAGGTGACCTAATTGAGGGAAATTTTTTCCACACTGGTCACAGCTGTACGGTTTCTCTCCAGTGTGAACACGTTGGTGGATTTTTAGGTCACCTGATGCCCTGAAAGATTTCCCACACTGGTCACACCAGTACGGTTTCTCTCCAGTGTGAACACGTTGGTGGATTTTTAGGTGACCAAATTGAGGGAAATTTTTTCCACACTGGTCACAGCTGTACGGTTTCTCTCCAGTGTGAACACGTTGGTGGATTTTTAGGTCACCTGATGCCCTGAAAGATTTCCCACACTGGTCACACCAGTACGGTTTCTCTCCAGTGTGAACACGTTGGTGGGTTTTTAGGTGACCAAATTGAGGGAAAGTTTTTCCACACTGTTCACACCAGTACGGTTTCTCTCCAGTGTGAACACGTTGGTGGAGTTTTAGGGCACCTAATCGAGGGAAATTTTTTCCACACTGGTCACAGCTGTACGGTCTCTCTCCAGTGTGAATACGTTGGTGGAGTTTTAGGGCACCTAATCGAGCGAAACTTTTTCCACACTGGTCACAGCTGTACGGTTTCTCTCCAGTGTGAACACGTTGGTGGATTTTTAGGTCACCTGATGCCCTGAAAGATTTCCCACACTGGTCACACCAGTACGGTTTCTCTCCAGTGTGAACACGTTGGTGGATTTTTAGGTAACTTGATGTACTGAAAGTTTTCCCACACTGTTCACAGCTGTACGGTTTCTCTCCAGTGTGAACACGTTGGTGGGTTTTTAGGTGACCAAATTGAGGGAAAGTTTTTCCACACTGTTCACACCAGTACGGTTTCTCTCCAGTGTGAACACGTTGGTGGGTTTTTAGGTGACCAAATTGAGGGAAAGTTTTTCCACACTGTTCACACCAGTACGGTTTCTCTCCAGTGTGAACACGTTGGTGGAGTTTTAGGGCACCTAATCGAGGGAAATTTTTTCCACACTGTTCACACCAGTACGGTTTCTCTCCAGTGTGAACACGTTGGTGGAGTTTTAGGGCACCTAATCGAGGGAAATTTTTTCCACACTGTTCACAGCTGTACGGTTTCTCTCCAGTGTGAACACGTTGGTGGATTTTTAGGTAACTTGATTGAGTGAAAGTTTTCCCACACTGGGCACAGCTGTACGGTTTCTCTCCAGTGTGAACTCTCTGATGAATCTTCAAATGTTCAAATCTTGAGAAGGATGTGTCACAGAGCTGACAGCGATGATGTTTGAGTCCATCTCTTCCTCTCTTTCTCTACATCAACAGAGAGAAACGCAGTAAGTGAGATGTCATGGTGGAGCGAGCTATCTAAAACAATCTAAAAAATCATAAACTATATATAATTAGAACACATCTTTAAAGTTCTATACTAAGGGTTTAACAACACACCAAATCCACAGTTCAGTCCTAGATTATTGAGCCACTGTTCATTCCTTGGATCCACACCCTTATATTATTATTATAATATTCCATCTTGGCTTAATAAATGTAGTCGAAGTTGCAGGCGTGATCACTCTATGACTGAACCAAAATAAGAAGTCACATGGCACACGCATTTGGAGGACATTAAAATTGGTGTAATATAGGGATGGGGACCTGGTTCCAAAAATTCTCAAAACCCGAAAATCAATAAGGTTCAAGCTTATCGATACTGCTATCGAGACTTACCTGCAGCCAGCGAGAGACGAGGAGGGACTGATGTTATTCTTTCTAAACATCACTCACTACTTGTGATGTCAGATCAAGTTATTGAGTTACTTTGCTGTTGTAAACATTAACGTTGCTGCTCTGGAAACATTTAGCTGTATTTAAAATATTAGATTAAAAACAATGAGGCAGTTAATATTTAAACTCAATATATGTTTATTTATTGCAAGTGATATGTCATCTCAATATATAACGTTACCGCACATTGAATATTTATCCGTCATACCGTGCAGCCCTACATCATGCCTGTTGGGTCTGGTCTTACCAAATAACATCACTAAATAACAGTGAAGTATCGATAAAGAATCTGATCGTTAAGCAGTCTCAATAAGTGTATCAATATCAATAAAAATTAGCGATCCCCATCCCTAGTGTAATATTTACAAAATATAGCCCTACAGCTTTTGCAGAGAAACAGAGAGAGAGAGAGAAACAGAGAGAGAGAGAGAGATGTTATATTAAGCAGACACATTATAAATTTTACAATTTTACTGAGCGACAGCGAACACACCACCAAACTAACGTTAGTTGATCCACATGCGGCGCACTTGAAAACTGAATGGAAAATTACCTAGAAAAACCTACTGTCAATATAAGTACGATACAGGCATACATCGCTACCGCCCCAGGCCCGCCGTTGGGAATTTGGACAGGGGGACAACATTTTCCAAACTGGGCCCCTCATCGACACCCAATCCAGCACCACCTCGACCAACCCACCCTTAGTTCTAGTACAAACATGGGCAATTTCAAAGACGCTCTTGGCCATTAGCCTTATAGTGACACAGATGGAGTCTGTGCAGCATTTTTTTAATCTTTCAAATTAGACTGTGACAGTTATGTTCCTCCATTTAACTTAAAACAAGGAAAAAAAATGCCTTTCAGTGATTTGCTGATACTGACAGTAAAATCAAACATTGAAGAGATAACTGCAAAGCATTAAATCATACAATTTAATTATGAGTGAACAAATACACATACTTCACCTATCAAATTCAACACTGAGGACTACATTCATCAACGTATTGGTCAAATTATGTACTAAACTGAAATACTGTATGAGTACTGTGTCAGGTTTATCACATGTATAGCTTATTATACTGTAACCATGTTTGCAGCTGTATCCTCTGACCTGTGATGTGCTGCTGACTAGTGTTTACTGTAGGTCTGTTTTCTTGAGGCTGTTACAAATCTTTATTAATATAAAGGGAAACACAAAATTCAGGTGGCAGATGATGATTCAAAATATAATAGAATATAATGCAGTGAAGCTCTCAGGCTCTCTGTGTTGCTTTTAGATATAGATATCTTTTGTCCTGGTGTTTAACTTTTACAAGGTTGTTTATTCGTCATTATACAACACAAGGCTGCTGTATAACGAAGCAAAGGTTTGTAGTCCCTTCATGCTGCGCACACAGAACCTAACAAATGAATATATTAATATTTGAATACACATTAAATGTGTATGTTTTAATGCTAATAATACATTTATCTATCATGTAAATACATAACACAAGTGTCAAACTTGATCACATTTAAGGGTTAACCATAGACCTTTGCTTGGGCCGGGATCATCTGTACCCTTTGACCCCCCTGATGGCGGGCCTGACCGCCCCCACCAGCCGCCACAGTTACACTGTCTAATGAGAGCAGGTGTCACGATGAAGAAAATAAGTAAAGCATATCACCACAGAACTTCCCCAGTTAATGACTTACATCGAGTATTTTCCCCTGAAATGTTCTGTGTAAATATGCAGATTAGCTTGTTTTGGTTAATTTAGATGAAATCTGCAGATGCAAAAAGGTGGAGGGTAACAGTCTTAAAACAAACACCATCTAAAAAGGTGTTTTATGTCCATTAGAGTAAAAGAAGACATGGACCAAAGACTCAAAATTGACTCGGTTTCAAAATTGGTTGGCTCCACATCTAATAACTCTCCATTCTATTATCCAACGAAGTTTAGAGTCAAGGGCAACTGGACTTGGTTGAAGATACTGGAAGACGTTTCGTCCCTCATCCAAAGGCTATACTAAGTAACTGAATATATATGTGAACATGGCCGGTTTGAGTCTATAACACTGAAGTGATCAATAGGGGCTCCATGAGAGTGAAATTGTCCGTGTTAGTATTAGAACTAAAGGTAGGTGGGGTGTCGACGAGGGGCCCAGTTTGGAAAATGTTGTCCCCTATCCATAATTAATGGCTGGCCTGCATGTACAGAACTGTTTACTGAGCTAACTAGCTAATGACAGAGCCTACAGAGATCTAACACTAATACAGGTCACTGCATCAGTTAGAGTCTCTGGTGAGAAAAAGGCACCGTGGAGGAAAGTCCCACAGAACAAACTTCAGAAGAGGATGTGTTGAAAAGCTGAGCAGCAGTGGAGGAAAACTAAACTCCAGACTGACTCTGATCTCTACAAAGAGTCTCCACAGATACTATTTAGAGCTGAAACCTGCACGACGATCATTCAGAGAACAATAATGCAGGCAGACTGTTTGTCACTGAGAGAAACTCACCAACACACGAGCAAATATAATGACTCTGCTTCATTTTCACCATCATTGTTTGTTCTGCGCGCTCCCGACACAACACGGGCCGCACCGCGCATGCGCCGCGCGGGAAAACCCACAGCACAAAGAAAAGAGAAACGCCATCTTGAAGATGAAAACAGGAACCACGGAGACACTTTGGAAATCAAACCACGTCAACACAAACCCTGGAGCGGGTTTTCAGGCTCTGATCTCTAACAACAGAATGAACGGATGATACACGGACCCTCGAGACTCTTCCTCGTGTCTTTAGTCTCGTGATGAAGTCATGAACACTGACCTGAACATCGGCGCTATCAGAGCACGAGGCTGCTGTTTGGCTCCTGCGGTCCGGGTTCTGGTTCTCCATCGTCCTGCAGGTCTCCGCTGTGACTGGTGGACCGTGTTGTCCTGGACTGAGTCTGGATTCTGGTCTCGGAGCTCTTCAGGCTGAGATACAGGAGCGCTGCGGGATCCCGCGGAGTGTTCTCGCGATGTCACGGCGTCTCGCCCCGCCCCTTAGTTACTGTCGCTAAGGCCGTTTAGAAACATGGCTCCTTGATTTCAGGCAGAAGATGAAGTTTAGTTAGTTGGTTTCCTGAAACCAGCTGATCATATTTGATGTGTATGAGGGAGTGTGCTTCACACAGAGCAGAGTTTTAATGAAGCGCTTGTTATTATCACATCAGAGGCTCATGAAAATATCCTGCTGAAGCTTTTTGTACAACAAAGACAGAAATAACTTCATGTGTTACATTTAATGTTGAATTTACAGGAAGGCAGAATCATTAAGAATTAGTCGTAGACAGCGTTTCACAAAGTTTCTAAAGTGTCCTCTAACTCAACAAGTCACTAAACTGCAGGATTGTTGAAGGGAGTCTGGGACTTTCTCCCCGGGCCACAAAGGAGTAGCTATATTACGGTTACTGTTTAAATGGTGAAATCAGATGAAACAGACAGTTTGTTCACAAACATCTGCTGCTTCTCTCGGCAGCTAAGAGAGTCCAAACACATCATTAACATCACAGTGAAGCTGTTTGTTCACTTAACGGGCCATCGTGTGTTTGTCCAGGTCGGCTCTCTATTCAAATGGGGATCAGCTGCTTGAAAAGGCGACTGATGCGCATTTTCACCTCTCTTCAGGTGATCAGCTTGAATAGGAGGCAGAGAGCTGAACATGTGGACATCAGCTGGCTATTCAGCTGCATTAATGAGCAGCCCAAACAGATGCAAACACAAAGCCACTGAAGGAAAACTGTGTGTTGTGAATGTAGCCTGCAAACCTCTTTAGTCTCCGTTAATACAGAAGAAATTAGAAATATAACAACAACATGTTAATGTGATGCTCACTTAATAAATAAATACTGGTAGTTGGGAATAATATTTGGGGAGGATCTCTTCTCTGTGGAAGTGGTGGGTATTAAGGCAAAGAGTACAAATATACAAACAGAGCAACACATACTTGATAGGCCTATAAATGTTCAAATGTTTTCCCCTCATCTTGTTGGTTTAATTTAACCTTATTGAAGCTTCAGCAGCTGCTGGGAAACATCCTGTCCAAAAACCATGGCCTAAACACAGAGCAGTGGACTGTGGGTTGTCACACATTGCTTGATGTGTCAGTGTGTTTTTGTGAGTCGGGTGTGGCTGCAGCCTGGAGCCTCCCGTCTCATGCCCTATTGTCTCATGCCCTATTGTCTCATGCCCTATTGTCTCATGTTGTCTCATGCCCTATTGTCTCATGCCCTGTTGTCTCATGCCCTGTTGTCTCATGCCCTGTTGTCTCATGCCCTATTGTCTCATGCCCTGTTGTCTCATGCCTTGTCTCATGCCCTATTGTCTCATACCCTCCCGCCTGGTGCTTTCCGCTAGTTTCTGCGTTTCAAAATAAAAGCTTGGTCTGGTTCACTATTTCTACCTCGTACTTATATTTTTAAACAGAATAGTAACGGCAATCATGCGCTTGAATAAAATACTTTATAAAATATCTGTCTATAAGATAAATGCAGACTATCATGCTAATGAATAAAAATACTTAAAAATATGTCCCTATTTAAGATAAATCCAAATGGTAGACAGACTAAAAATCTGTTCTGTGATCGTTTTATATTGTATTCCAGCAATCTGGTAGAAAGATTGTTTTAAACGTAGTATCAAGGGTCGAAATCGCGAATTACCGGATGTGTGTGTTACACACTCCTCTACAGTAGTTGGCAGTATGCACCTAAATGTTGTTTGCAACCCGCTATTCATCAAGAGAAGCAGCAGCAGCAGTTAGAGTCATAAGCAAGTTTGTTGCAATAAATTGAAAAACATATAAACTCTTAAATTAACGATTTAGGCCATACATATAGTTTGCAAATTTCTGGATGTTGTTGTTGTATCCCTGACGTTAACGTAAATCTATTTGATGAAATCTGAGATAAGTTTAACACATAAAACAGCAACCGCGTTTAAATTCACATTTGTTAGCAAATATTAACGTTAGCTAACGTTACCTATAGAAATGTATATTAGCAGACTAGGAACACATCAGTGTCTTTTTTAAAATAACACATGCCGGGTATGCTGTATAGCCTACTGTGCTGAGCAAGTCACTTGTTGCTAACAAAAAAGACTGTGGCTGTGTCCGAAACAAAAACAAATCTAAATACTGTATTAGAGCAGATAAGAGTATGATTTTGTTCTGTTTTTGCTTTAAACACAGGGTACGTTGGAAGAGGAAGGCAAAGTGAGCTGCAGGGGATATTTTCTGAAGATCCCCACCCTGGATTCTGCATTATCCAGATTTTCCATTAAGGACAGTGATAATGAAGAGTAAAATAATAAACATGTTATACTCTTTCCAAGACTCGTTTTTATTTCTATATCTTATATTGTTTCCACACTTAATAGGGAAATCACTGCAAATATAATTGCTTATTCTATCATGTGTGTGTTTGTGTGTCGCTGGGTTGGCACAGACACAGGATAAGCAGTAGTTCCAGGCAGAAGTCCACAGAGCCCGCCAGCTGAGACACAATAAGAGCTGTTCATATTGTTATATTGTCATATTGTATATACTGTATACCAATCCACCTACCTCAAGTCATAACTCCTGCACAATAATACCTATACTTCATTATTCCAGTATCCTTTGCACTATGTACATGTATGCATGTATGTGTACCTGTATATCACATCCACCTCCAACATGTACGCAATAATGATAATAATTTTACTCTTGCATCCTTTGCACTCTGATCACTGCACTATTTGTCAATACGTCTATATTGTTTTGTTCATAGTGTGTATATTAGTGTTGTCTATACTGTAGTCTATGTCTGATTTTATTTTATTATTGTGTTGTGGTATTTTTGTATGAGTAAGCACATCATGAGCAATGTACAATCCTGAGTCAAATTCCTCGTATGTGTACACATCCCTGGCAATAAAGCTGATCCTGATTCTGGTAATGTCACAGAGTAATATCTATTTGTGTAGTTTTTCGGGCTTATTTGACACAGACAATGCACATTAACAACACATTCTATATGCAAGAATTACGCATAACATCTGCTGTCCCTGAACTGTTGGTAAAATTGTCACCCTAAAAGACAAAAGGATACATGTTACATATAGATCATCACCAGCTCACTCATTGTTCTACACACAAGCTGACTGAATCTCAGTCAATATGCTTGAGTGTATTTCAATAGCATGGATATACACGCAAGCATACATACAAGTAACAGGAGTTTCTAGCCTGTCTAATACGGAAACAACAGTGGAAAGGAATACCTCCAGCGGGATTTGAAACTACGTTTAAAACAATCTTTCCACCAGATTGCTGGACATATAAGTATTTTTAGTCATTAGCATGATAATCTGCATTTATCTTACTGACAGATATGGTGGTGGTGGTGGTGATGGTGCAGTGGATAAGGCTCATGCCTTTGGTGTGCGAGACCAGGCTTGATCCCCCACTGTGACCCATCCAACATTGTGTCCCTGAGCAAGACACTTAACTCCTCGTTGCTCCAGAGGCGTGTGACCTCTGACATGTATAGCAATTGTAAGTATCTTTGGTTAAAAGCGTCAGCTAAATGAATAAATGTGAATGAGATATTTTATTATATTCATTCGCATAATTTCCTTTACAATTCCATTTAAAAACACGAAAGTACAAGGAAGGTATAACGAACCAGACGCCAGCTTTTATTTTGCAACATAGAAGCTTGTGGAAGGCACCAGGCCAGAGGGCATGAAACATGAGGCTCCAGTCTGCAGCCATACAGTCTTGGTTTTTGCTAAGGAAGCGCCATCTCATGGTGGCACCCTGCAACTGAACGAAAGGGGCTTGAATGGACGAGTTTCCTGTGAACCTCCCAGCGGCTGGATAACAGCTGCGGCTCTCTGGATATTTGTGGCTCGTTCTAATGCGTGCAGTCAAACAAACTTTATTTCTACAGACACAGAGAAGTCAGCAGCTGCAGGAAATCAGAACCACTGACAGGAAGTTAAGAGTCAAGTTAAACCACATGTCAGAACTTTCTACAGCACCGGGATTTACGTTCAAAGGTTTTTTTATTGAATGACAACTTTGCAAAAATAATTACTGTATGATGAAATATACATATTTTTCATACTTTTTAAACCAGAACATATCCCACCCATATGCCACGCTCCCAATTGCGAAAAACCTGCATTAAGAATTCTTACAAGAGATGATTTAAATCACAGTCTTAATTATAATACATAAAGGTAAAAGGGTTAAGAATAGAAGAAACTAAATACACATCTTAAATAAATAAAACTGAATGAAATGAAATAAAATAAAATAAAAGAGGGGAAGGGGGTAGCTACTCTGATATTGTTGTAGGTGGTTTCTCAAGAAATGTCAAGAAGGGGCGCCATATTTCGTAAAATTTATTCTCAGATCCCTGGGTGGTGTAACGTATTTTCTCTAAATTCATGCATGACATAATGTCCTTAATCCAATGTGAGTGGGAAGGAAGAGCAGGATCTTTCCACTTAAGTAAGATAGCCCTAAGAGTCAATAAGGAGGTAAAGTCAATACTTTCAGCTTCACTTTAGGCAAGCCCGAATTCAGAGAAATGCCAAAAATACCAGTAAAAGTGTTTGGCTCAATTTGATGGTGAAGCACTTCAGAAATCGTTTGAAAGACTGATGTCCAGAACTCATTCAGGGTGGGACACGTCCAGTATATGTGAAAGAGTGACGCCCAGCTCTTACAGCTATTGCAGTCGGATCCACATCAGGGAACATACAAGATAGTTTGGTTTTAGATATGTGGATATGATGTACTACTTTAAATTGCACAAGATTATGTCGGGCGCACAAGGAGGTAGAGTGTATCCGATCCAGGACTGAACCCCATATGTGATCGGTGAAGGCAGAGCCTAGGTCCTGCTCCCACATGTTTCTTATAGCGGCTAAAGAGGGGTTATGCAACTTCGAAATAAGGTCGTAAAAGACAGAAATTGTGCCTTTTAATGGGGGTTAACAGAGAGAAACATATCGACAGGATTGGTTGGGGGTTTATTAGGGAATTGGGGGATTAACTTCTGTATATAATGCCTGATTTGTAAAAATCTGAAAAAATTTGTCTTTACGAGACCGAAGTTTTTGTCA